CAGAAAGTCCATGAAACTTGTCTTTCTGTATTTGTGAATGAAGTGCCATCTCCTGGTTAAAACCTGAAATTGAAAATCTGGCAACGCCCTCTTGGAAAATAGTGGGAGGGCTTAACATTCCTCGATACTGGTTTTGGGCAGGTCGTAGGCAGGAAGCTGTAAACTGGAGTCTGAAATGAGGTGCTACATATGTAGCTCAGCACACATGCTGGAAGTTATGTCTTCTTCTTATTTCTCTGCTAGAGAGAGATTTCTACCGGGAGATCTCAGCTAAACGCTTCGGTGATACCATGTTATGCTCCTAACCACTTCAAGCTTTATTTCTGAAACAGTATGGAGCTCAAACCTTTCTCTCTCGCAGGGTTTACCACAAGGACATTTACGTTACACATATTCTCTCCAGTAGCCTATACAGCGTTAGCTCTGAGTGTTAGCATGCTTGCTAATGTAAACACACAGCATATTACTCCCAAAACACGCATTGTTTCTGATAGCACATAGCTTGACATGTTCTGTGTGTTTACCACTAGAACAGTGCCATTATATGTATTATATATATATAACAACTTTACTCTAAGCCTCCAGCAGACATCCTGCTGAACCCTGCTGAAAAAAACAGCTTAGACCAACAACCAGCCTGACCTAGGGGTCCACGTACCCCCATTTGAGAATCACTGGTCTAGCTTACCAGTAGCTGGTCGGGATAGCTGGTTTAGCTGGTAAAAGCTGGTGGTCACAGTGGTCTAGTAGCTGGCCACCATTAGCTGGTCGGGATAGCTGGTTTAGCTGGTAAAAGCTGGTGGTCACAGTGGTCTAGTAGCTGGTCACCATTAGCTGGTCGGGATAGCTGGTTTAGCTGGTAAAAGCTGGTGGTCACAGTGGTCTAGTAGCTGGCCACCATTAGCTGGTCGGGATAGCTGGTTTAGCTGGTAAAAGCTGGTGGTCACAGTGGTCTAGTAGCTGGTCACCATTAGCTGGTCGGGATAGCTGGTTTAGCTGGTAAAAGCTGGTGGTCGCAGTGGTCTAGTAGCTGGTCACCATTAGCTGGTCGGGATAGCAGGTTTAGCTGGTAAAAGCTGGTGGTCACAGTGGTCTAGTAGCTGGTCACCATTAGCTGGTCGGGATAGCTGGTTTAGCTGGTAAAAGCTGGTGGTCACAGTGGTCTAGTAGCTGGTCACCATTAGCTGGTCGGGGATAGCTGGTTTAGCTGGTAAAAGCTGGTGGTCACAGTGGTCTAGTAGCTGGTCACCATTAGCTGGTCGGGATAGCTGGTTTAGCTGGTAAAAGCTGGTGGTCACAGTGGTCTAGTAGCTGGTCACCATTAGCTGGTCGGGATAGCTGGTTTAGCTGGTAAAAGCTGGTGGTCACAGTGGTCTAGTAGCTGGTCACCATTAGCTGGTCGGGATAGCTGGTTTAGCTGGTAAAAGCTGGTGGTCACAGTGGTCTAGTAGCTAGTCTAGTGGTGGTCACAGTGGTCTAGTAGCTGGTCACCATTAGCTGGTCGGGATAGCAGGTTTAGCTGGTAAAAGCTGGTGGTCACAGTGGTCTAGTAGCTGGTCACCATTAGCTGGTCGGGATAGCTGGTTTAGCTGGTAAAAGCTGGTGGTCACAGTGGTCTAGTAGCTGGTCACCATTAGCTGGTCGGGATAGCTGGTTTAGCTGGTAAAAGCTGGTGGTCACAGTGGTCTAGTAGCTGGTCACCATTAGCTGGTCGGGATAGCTGGTTTAGCTGGTAAAAGCTGGTGGTCACAGTGGTCTAGTAGCTAGTCACCATTAGCTGGTCGGGATAGCTGGTTTAGCTGGTAAAAGCTGGTGGTCACAGTGGTCTAGTTGGTCACCATTTGCTGGTCAGACTGGTATGATCTTGAGTAGAACTTTCACTGGGATTACTTGATGGTTAAGCTGGTCATATATGATGATGAAACACTCTCACCCAATTGCAGTAGCTCAATGAACATCTATCATTTCAGATCAAAGCACCTACCTTACCAGAAAGGTACCAGAATGTATAGAATGTATTGTCTGTAAATAAATACTCATACATCAAATGATTAGAAGCAGGAAAATAATTTATAACACACAATGAACATTAAAACAAATTTGAAAACATTTTCAAAACACCCATTACTTCATATTTTTAAGCAGTTTCCTTCAACTGTTTCTTTCCGCTTTTCACAAGGTCCTATATTTCCGCTTCTCCCTCTCGGTCTTTTGTGAATTCAGCCATCCTCTGAAGCACTCTTGAAAAGAGAAAGGAAAAACAGATTCACTTTTAGCTTTGTGTTGTGATTACTTAAATATGTGCACTGTGAGATGAACAATAATTTAGTCTTGAACATTCACTGTGATTGGGTCTATTATCCACGCAATACACCGTATTTAATGTTTTTCTTAATTTACATTATTTAATTTCATATTCTGTTCTTGTAAATATCATATTCTATGTAAATAAACTTTTTGCACTACTTTTTATTTTGTATTTTTGTATTTTATTATATATGTTGCATTGTTGGAGGAGCTCAGGTCAGAAGAATTTCATTGACATTTCTACACTGTAGCTGCTGAGCATATGAGAATAAAACCTTTGAATCTTGAATCCAACACTTTTTTCTGTGGAAAATCCTAAATTGTAGGATAGTTTGGCCATAATAATGCTTTATGATTACATTTCTAGTGAGAAGTGTATATTACTTTCAGAATCTACCTCCAGTGGATGTGTAGGATCTACAGTTTGATAGATATATGAATTTATACCCGGAATGTATTGTCATTCTTATTGTCGAGAAATACGCTATATTTGATTAACACCAGTATGTATTTTATACATCCACCTCAAGTGTTTGTCTCTGCACCGTTCTGCAAAGTTCAACCGCATATTATATAAACTATATCAGCGCCACACCTGCGTAACACATGGTGCCTCTTGTCTGAACCATTTTTTAAGCGATTTGTAATCTATTCTTGTCGACTTGCAGCCTAAATACAAAGATAACTTTCACTCTCCTACCACTGCTTACCTCTAATGAGCCTTGGTACAACTAGTGTCCGAGTCATGGGGTCCAGAACTGACTGAAGACATGTGGAACAGAGCACAGGCATGGTTCGATGTACAGGAAACTGGAACTTTGAACAGGTGTTTTCATATTTTCTGCCTGAAGATTCTCAAGTTATTGATCAGGTGTTTGATGTGGGCTGGCATGATCCTTTCTGCAGCGATAAATAAAGAAAACAAGGAAAACATTTGTAATGATAGTAATGATGGTAACAATAATAATATTAATATAACTATCTATATAGCACTTACACAATTGCAAAGTGATTCTCACAACAAACATAAAGAACAAAACAATATCAACAATGAAAAAACTAATTATTATAGGAATGTTAAGAGACAAAGAAATTATAAACATTCTAAGAGGCCGACTACAAAAGGTAGACACAATGGCTCTTGATGACATCAATGAGCAACACAGTCTCACTCCCTGAACGTCCAGGAGCGACGCTTGGTCAGGGTCCTATGGCGTGCAGGTGTGACGCGCCGAGTCTCTTTCAGCTTCATAAACGGACGCAAAGAGCTTTCAACTGATTGCAATGTATTCCCATCGGCGGCGGTATCAGGGAAGCACCGCATCGGTCCATGTTGGCGGCATTCTAAAAAGTGTGTACTGTGTGTACTGCATGACCTGTATAAAAACGCATGTGTGTGTACGACAGAGTGGAAACTGAATTTCCCCCTCGGGGGATTAAGAAAGGTTCTTCTTCTTCTTCTTCTTCAAGGCAATGTGAGCGTCCATTCCCATTGGATAACGGAGTATTCTCTTTACTGTCGATTGATTTTACAGTGATATCTGAACTACTCATCAACTCAAAAACACCAGATTATCCTTGTTAATTACACAACATTGATTGGTTTAAATTGTGTACAATGCTTTTGTATTTTTCCCCTTCGATTTGGAGAAACAAATATTTTTTCGGAGTTTAGGATGGCCGAAGACACTACACTACCCAGAATCCTCAGCTATTGTTCCGCTTTGCCTCAAGCTCTGTGATTGGTTGACCTCCAACTGCATTCCATATGAAAAAAAAAAAGTTTCGTAAAAGATAAAATCATACTTTATTCAGCAGTGCTTGCTTTACTCTTTGAAAGTCATCACATGAATGCATTGTAATAAATGGTTCGGCTGCATTAAATATCACACATCTGTCATATAGCAACAATCACCTAGTTGAAAAATAAAAATGATATACATTTTTTTTAAAAACCTACATTTTTCAGAATATCAGCGAATGTGTCACTGTTTTGAGATTCCTAGAGAGAGAGCTGGGGAATGCTACGAGAGAGCTGACGGAGTATGTGAGTGAGGATTTAACCGAGTAATTTCATTGTTTTGGCGTGGCTACGGCCAACAGTAACCTGTGATCGTTATTAATAAACTCCCGGATAAAAGACATACAAAGCCTCCCTGTTTTCTTATAGGGAGACGCTACAATATAATCATTCTGACCTCAAAACGATAAAGCTTGCATGGAGGGATTTTTGCCGACGCTCATATTTTCAATGTTTCTGTTTCCTCTTATTGGGTTGTTATAATCAGATATGATTAATAGAAACTAGAACTAAATGTTCTGTGTGTGTCCTCAATGCTTGTTGTTGATTATTACAGTTTTATTTTATATTTTATGCGCAGCACAACGTACCATGCTGTTATAATAACGCTCTTTATCAGCCTTTGAGACTGAAACCATTTTGGGAGAAAAAAAAACCAAAACATTTAGAATCATAATGTATCATGTGTACACGATTAGTCGAATAATCGCATTAATTGGTCGACTAGAAAAATCTTTAGTCGAGGGCAGCCCTACATAATACAATACAGGAATTAACCTAGAAAGAGTTAGCACTAGAGTTTTAGTGTCTGTCAGCGCACTGTTTTGGTATCCCAAACTTTACTGTTTTGATTCATTCTCAAGGCTCTCATCAACCCAAACTAGTCGCCTTATTCAGGGCTTCTGACCCAAAAATGAAACGATTTTATTACACAAAAGATAATTCTTCATTTATTTATTTTTATCCCGTTATGTATGGAAAACAATCTTTACAAGACAATGCAAAATCTTTGAATTTTTTTTAAAAATCTTAATCCAGTCATCTGCAAAATGATTGACTTTCCACCAGAAATGGAATCAAGATAAATGTAACACTTTGATTAAAGTAACAAATGAGGAAAATAACATTTGAATTATTATATTATTTTAAATCACAAGAATAATTAGGGCTCATTTCAAATCAAGTGAATGAGCCATTTGGACACAGAAACCCTAAACTTGTCTTGCTTCAAGATCTCCATGTTTATATGCCTCCAACCAGCGCATAGAAAGACATAAGGAGAAGACCGAGTGAGGAGATCACTCTCTCACCACTGCCAAACACACTGCCGTCCTCTGTGGTGTGGGGGTGATGGGTGGGGATTGATGGACAGACAAAGTCCAAGTCGCTATCAACTCCTGAGGACATGTAGTCAACAAAGCCTGGTTGGCTAGAGCCAGTGTGATTTTTGATCCAATCTTCGTAGTTGGACACACGGGCGTAAACTCCAGGAAACTTCGGCAAGGCACAGCCTTCTCCAAAACTCACGACGCCACTCTGGACCCAGTCTGAACCCTTTTTGATCATCATTGGTCCACCTGAGTCTCCCTGTAGAAAGAAATTGATGGTTGAGGTTATATGATAGAAGCATCCACCCTGCTAAAGCTTGATTCCCCTAAGGCTCTTTGTTTGTTTCAGTCTAACCTGACTTAAAATAAATGTATGAAGCTTTATCTTAGTCATTATGTCGAAAGCTGGCTTTTTCCATGTCTGAATGAAAGTTACGAGAACTTCATTTGGCTTCAACTTTGTGTGTTTATTTGTTGGCTGTGTCTTTGATGTTTTTAGCCTAGCTTAACACAAAGTCTGGAGGTTTTTCCCTCAGTGACGTTATATTGCTTAAACTTAAGTCAACATTTCTTGTAAATAAAGTAATTCTAACATAACTAGAGCAAAAGTAAAAAGTCAAGCTTATAAACATGCATGACCTGCAGCTCATTTATGTGATATTACAGATCATAATTCAGGGATGCATATTAAGATTATTTTGAAACGTATCTACTGGTTATAAAAGCCACACACCTATTGAAATTGCTGCAGGTCTCCCTTGAAAAAGAGATTTATGATCTCAAGGGACCAATCTGGTTAAATAAAGGTTTGAAATGAAATGAAATAAAACATTTTTTTTTCTTTCTCTCTTTCATCCCCCTGTACAATACATTTTTGAAGAAAGTGTCACAAAGTAAATACACAAAAAGTTGGTTACCTGACATGAATCATTCGCTCCAGCTCTTAACCCAGCACAGATCATGTTGTCTGTGAGATCGTGGTGGGCACATGTGCACTCATTGTTTCCCACGATTGGGACCCTCACTTCCTGCAGGGTGTCGGCCTTGGCACCTAATCAGAGATGATTCAAACGTTAAGATTACAATTGGTGTTGAAAAAGACAAAAGACATCATTGTGTCTGTAGTCAGTGAATTTACCACTTGATGTAAAACTAAAACCAACGACCCAGCTGTTGACACCGGTGTAGAAGGTGCTGTTTTCAGAGGCCAAGCACACCGGCTGGATGTAGTCTGTAAAGTTCACCGGGCTCGACAGCTTCAGAAGAGCCATGTCGTTGTCCAAATTGAAGGAGTTGTACATAGGATGGACTATGATCTTATCAATTGCCTTTGACACGTTGTTCAAGTTTCGAACAGACATGCTTTCGAGGCCCAGAACAACCGTCATGTTGCGACTTGAAGACAAAGAATCAACATGGTAAATGTATTTTTGTGACTTTAAGCATCCAGAGTACTGATTGATATCAATTATCTCATCCCGCTCTAGTGTTAATTTCGTTAACTAAAACTATGACGAAATATGTTCGTCAACGACCTTTTTTTCCATGACGAAAACGAGACGATGACGAGACGGCACCGACGGCAGTAAACAATAACTGTAACGAAATCATCATGCAATATCGTTGACGAAAAGTGACGAGACGAAAATGTAGTTTTCTAAATAAAAACTATGCCAAAATCTCTCTTTTACTTTCGTTGACGAAAAATGAGGAGACGAAATATTATCAAAGATAACGTTACATCTCTGATAGTCAGTTTTTCTCCCAGCAGTTCCATTTCCGGTGCTGCGGCTGGGCAGCAGCTGTGTGTCTGTGCTGCGCGCGGCGGTAGATTTGAATTACACCGGGCAGCGGAAAAATATGAACTGTCAGGAAGACTCGGATCTAACTCATGGTCTAACTAACCTTATTTAACAGAAAATAAAATGGCAACAGGGCTTGGGAGCAGTGGTCGCACTCGCGTTAACCGAATACCCCCCGTCAGCGCGAGTGAGTGATAAATTGTGCACTCGACGGATAATAATGGATTATTACGGAAATGTTACGATCCTGTCCGTCAAAATGACTTACAACGAAAAAGTCTAAACCCACCACTGCTTGGGAGAAAGAAACAATGTGATATTTGGGCCCTTTTTCGCTACAATGAGGCGGAGAAAAAAAGCGAATGCATTGTTTTATCAGAAGGGAAGCAATGTGGCCATAACACAGCTGAGCAGATACTCTCTGCAAAGCTGCATTCTTAATCATTCAACCTGTGTTTTTCATCAAATAAGGACAAGATATAATCTTATTGTGAAATACGTTTGACTAAAATGATTGGTTTTGGCTAGACCAGTTTGACTGAAATATTCTATATAATCTGATGACAAAAAAAAGACTCAACAGTTTTCATTGACAAAAAGTAGACTAAAATAATTAGTTTTCTTTGACTAAAATGCTCAGACTTTTAGTCGACTAAATCTTGACTAAAATGTTTACTGTTTTAGTCGACTAAAATAAGACTAAAATGCTCAGACTTTTAGTCGACTAAAACTTGACTAAATAAAAACAGGATGAAGGTGACTAAATATGACTAAAACTAAAAAGGAAATTTAACACAGGACTAAAACTAAACAGAAAAATAGCTGACGAAATTAACACTATCCCGCTCTCAACTAGGAAGCAACAAATGAACAATTCCTGTAAAACATCTAAAAGAAAACTTGATCAATGGTGATTCCTTACTCTGAGATGCAGTGAGCAGCGGTCAGAACCCACATAGCGCTGATTAGGGACCCTCCACAACGGTGCTTGCCATTCACTTGTATACTGGCTACCCAGGGCCAAGTTCCTGCAGCCGCATTTTGACCTCCCACAATTCTGTTTTTTGTTGGTGCCCGGCCACATGCTGACAGAGAAAAGAGAACAGATTAGACATGGACATGTAGAACCAGTCCTTTTCATAACTCACTGAAGGAATCTTGAAGAACTTGTTATGTTGCTCATATACGCTTACCTGGCTGCTGTTGTGAATGACATCCTGAAATTGAGAACAAAATGTTATGCAAACGTCTTGCTTGAAACCAAGGATGGCAAGCATTTAGTGGTGGAACAATTTATCTTCAACAACTATTTTTTTTTTTAAAGTACACTTACTAATACCACACTGTGAAAAAACTACACGCATAGCTCCTGTATTGGCATTTTACTGAGTTCAGATGATTGACTATAGTTAGATGAATGTGTAATTGATCATTCATAGAACATGGCTTGTTGATTGATTGACTTTGCTAGTTCCTAAATAAATTCACTTATCTTAAAAATCTTATTTTGTAAACTACCTAATATCTAGATAAGTGAAAGTATTACAGTACACAATATATTCCCATTGATTTGTAGTGGAGTTGAAGTTTAAGGTAGAATGAAAAGATAATACTCAAGTAAAGTACTTCATCAGTGTACTTCAGTAAATGCACTTACGATCCACCCTTGCATGCCTTTATGAGCACACATCAACAATAGACCTGAGATGTGGTAGTTTAACAGAGGGTCTGCTTTATTGAAGGCAGAAATGGACTCTTCCAAAATATTTTGAAAACTAAAACAAATCCTATCAGTTCACTTTAAAGTCTGCCTTGTCGTGTCACCAAATCTGCAGTCTAGCCCATCCCAAACTCCTGATGTACTTACTGATAATGCTTTACTTTTGACTTTAGTTTGATAAACTTCACACTTTGTCCAATAACACACTTTTTTTCTCAGCAATCGAGCAGAACAAGTGAACACCAGAACACCAGAGAACTCATAAGTGCAAAATAAAATACAACAACAAAAAATCAGCTCAACCAGTTACATTTTCTATTAAATCCCATTCTTTTGGGGGTTTTTTCGACTAATTTGCTGACAACAAATATTCCTGTTGTGTTTTTGAGAGGATTTAAAAAAACAAAACACAATGACTACAATGGGTTTCATATTACTTTATGGTCCATTGACCCAGATGGGTAAACGTAGTTTGAAATATTTCACTTCTGCACTGCCTCTCCAGCAGACAAAACTATTTCAAAGATTAATCCAAATCAAAGTACCAATACTTTTGCTAACCATGTTATTAATACTTTTTTAAATAAAGAAAGAGAGAGACTAGATTCAATGAATGTCGTGCAAGAAAAAAAATCCAAATCAAGCCGCACGGTTAGCGACTGATTACCAGCACAGGATGATCATCACCGCTGAACCACACAGAAATTGGTAGAGAGCCATTTTCACTGTGCCTTCTTCCCTCTGTGCTCATCATTTAATACCCTAAACCTCATACTCCGCCCACAACTTTAAACCGTTCACCTTTTACTGCCATTTTGTCTAACTTGTTTGTTTTTCTTGATGCCTAACTTGAGTCTAACCTGTTTTTCTTCATGCCTAACTTGAGTCTAACTTGTTTTTCTTGATGCCTTTGTGTCTGCAGCATGCATGAAGCTCCCAGTGTTGCAGTGTTCACTCAGATATAAATGAAATGGTTCATATTAATTTCACCAGTTTTGTGTTTTAACTTGTACGATTCCTTTTAGTCTAACATGAAAAAAACAATAATTCTCACCATTAGAAAGTTCAGTCATCCATCCATCTTCTCCCGCTTGGGTCGCGGGGGTAGCAGTTCCAGCAGAGAGCCCCAAACTTTCTTTTCCCTAGCCACATTCAACCAGCTCTGACTGGGGGATCCCAAGGCGCTCCCAGGCCAGCATAGAGATATAATCCCTCCACCTGGTCCTAGGTCTACCCCTTGGTCCCTTCCCAGCTGGACGTGCCTGGAACACCTCCCTAGGGAGGCGCCCAGGTGGCATCCTTACTAGGTGCCCGAACCACCTCAACTGGCTCCTTTCGACGCGAAGGAGGAGCGGTTCAACTCCGAGTCCCTCCCGGATGACTGAACTTCTCAACTTATCCCTAAGGGAGACACCAGAGCCATTATATGGCTCTGTGAGACACCAGCAGGGCCGCCCCTCCCTACAGGCCAATCACGCAGGCTGCATGGGGCCCCGCCTTGTGCAGGGGGCCCCGCCCAGAGGGCCTCAGCTGCTGTGCCTAGTTCTCCACTCAGTTCTCCGTGCAACCCCCGCGAGAGTGAGAGGTGACAAGGGGAGCACGTCTGTAACCCGACACCGTTGCAATGAATCGACATCTGACCAATCACGGCTTTGATACGGCCACTAGTGCAGGTGAAGAGATGTCGATGAAAAGACAGTTTCAGTCCGGCGCAAACAAGGGGGGAAAAAAAACAAAACATGAATAAACTAGAGCATCACTCGAAGGTGGGTTATTGTATGAGTCAAATGTACAACTTGCGAATGTTGTATAAGTCAAATTGCCAATTGCCATATTAAAACATCAGCTGCATTTCACGACATGAAGAAGGCAGTCTCTGCAGAGCATACAGGCTAATGGAGATGCAGTTATTTCCAGCATTCTTTATTTACCATTCATTCAAGTATGTTATGCCTTTTATCTGCTAATATACAGGAGGAAGAGTGATACACTGTCTGTCTAGTTGGCTTATGTAACAGTTAAAGTTTACAGCTTAAAAAATATGGAGCATTTTTTTTCCTTTTATTCATTTTTATGTCAATTTGCACATTTCATGGTGATGCTCAGCCTCTCCCCTTAACTCCTAACAGTCATCATCATGTCAACCACAACACAGAGAAATACTGATAGAAATGTGTGTGTAGTTGTTGATACATTGCTGACAGAGGGAACTACATTTGAATACAGATTTAAGAAATATCAGTTTTTGAGCATGTCATAAGCATGTTTTGTCTTGACTATATTACAACTAAATTATAATAAAATAATATAGTATTTATATTATTGAATTGATTATGATTATTATTATTATTAGTAGAAGTAGTTTATTTGCATTCATTATATTTTAATCTTTTTGAGGCTAGTATTTGGCAGGAAATGCAGACGTATTCACCTGTAAACGCATGACATACATGCACATTTACCATTTACCTCACTGTATAAAAAAGTAACTGTGTTGATAATAATAATAAACAGGAATTATATTTGCAAAGTAGCCTACTTTGTTTCCAAAAACAACTGTCGGTTGGGGGGGGGGGCCTCATCTCACAATGTCGCTTGGGGCCCCAAGTTGGCCAGGGGCGGCCCTGGACACCAGCCACCCTGCGGAGAAAACCCATCTCGGCCGCTTGTATCCGCGGCCGAGATACAAGCGTAAGTAAAAAACCATGACCTTTGTTTTCTTCCATCTTTTACTCTATTGGACGTCACTGTTCAATAATTCAAGTTTAGTAGATAAAAAGTGTTGCGTAATGTTTGTCAAGCTTATAGGTATTTCTTTTGTAATGGCTGACTATTTCTATGCGTTTAATGACTGTAGTTCAGTGGTCGCCAACCAGTCGATCGAGTGTGGTGCGGGTAGATCGCGGACCGTTACAAAAAAAAAAGTAACACAAGAAAGAAAATAAAAATAATAATGTTTGAAAAATACGTTTTTAGATGTAAACCTATCATCCACCACCCCGTTAGCAGGTGCCACTTGATTGACGTATATATTGAGACACCTCAATAATATAATACATTAACCGTGCTTTACGTGAACCTCATCATGACACAAGAGAGGACGGCAAGATTGCGATTTCCCGTGTTCAGTGAATGCAACAGAGGCAAGTCACCAGACCAATCAGAGAGTTGCATGGAAATACACATGTGCTTGTGTCATTCAAGCTCGGCTCTGTGTGTGTGTGGCAATAGCGCATTTAGTGTGATAGAGAGAGGGAGAGAGGGACCGCTGCTAGCGGGGACCGTGATGTTAGCATCTGGTTAGCTAGCTGCACTAACGGACATAAGGAGCTGTTTCCACAACAAGCTGGAGGAGAGTCCTCCCCTGTCAGATTGAGGGGCTCAGGTGAACTAAAGGACTGAGTGATTAGAACGGTTTTGTCACAAATTATTCAAAAGATTATTTCCGAGGCACACCTTCATATGATCATTATAGTTATACAAACAATAAGAGAATAAATGAAAAACAGGCATGAAATACTATATGGCAGTAAAACAAGAATACAGTTTAAAAGGGGAGTGATTTGTAAAATATCCATAAAGAAAAAGAAAATCTGTTTACAGTTCTGTTTCATATGGGTGTTGAGAGATGTATCCATAGATCTCCTGATGTTGCTCTCAAAGTGCACCAGATTGATGCTTTCAACTTCAATATTTAAAAAAAAAAATCTTCCCGGGGGAGCATCCCCCTGGACCTCCCTAGAGGAGGTGAGGACCCCGCTAGAGGAGGTGAGGTCCGCCCCCCACTCATAAAAAATAGCACTTTACTCCTGCCTATATGCCGTGAGCTGATTATGGAGCCTTCATTGTAACAGTAATTCAGATGCAATTAGCCTATATAAAAGGCCTCAAATTGGAAGCACTGTCTGGGCCGTCTTTTTCACTCAATTCTGCAATAGGTAGATCTCGCCTTTCACCTAGGCCGAGGTCGGTGATCTTGGGCTTAAAAAAGTTGATGACCACTGCTGTAGTTAATCGACAAATTCCTTTTTTTGTGCCTGTTAGGAGTTTCAATTCAGTGAGAATCTTCAGCATCAAGTGCAAAATTGGTGATTTTATTCTAAACCAATAGAAAGCTCTCTCGATTTACAATTGACACCACTGAGACTAAAGTAATCCCATCCACGGAATAACAATGAGACTGTCGCTCCGGGCTGCTTGCTAGTTAGTTTTTCGATCAGCCACGCAGAACATATTGCAGGTTTTTCACAAACGATGCGCGGCGGCCTGCTGGGGATAGGAGTCGCATTCCTGTGTGAATATTTGAAAATGAACGTTTTCAGAGTAAAAAAGGGAATGAAATAATAATGTACACACACACACACACGCACATAAACACTGCTCACAAACCCTTAGAATCAGTGCATGCTATTTTTCACACCATTGATCCTGCAGGCCAGGGGAGAGTTTAATCTCTATTCTTATCTGATGAGCGCTATGGATAATGACAAAAGGTCCATATTATTTTATTACAGAGCGCTTGACAGATATTAGTTTTGAGCCACAATATTTATTTTTATCTGAAAACATTGGTCTAATGACATGTACCTATTTGTTGGATGTATCTGTGCTTATCTGGAAGTTATGTTACTTAAAGTTCCGATGTCATGCTTTTCCGGTTATTACCCGTCCCCTTCTGACACAGACGGACCCCGACTGTTGCGTCGCCTCGCGTCTCTGCGTTCTGGCACACACCGCAAAGACTTCAGCCGACGGCCAAGTACGAACTGCGCCTGCGTGAGTGGCAATAACTATCCTTACCAGCAGGCGGCGGTAGTGTGTATTCGTCATTCAAAAGAGGCAACAACTGGAAGACAGACTGCGTGATAACCGAGAGAAGAAGAACAGACTGCGTGATATAAACAAACAACAAATAGCGTGTGCGTTCCATTTTCACTCTACAGCGAGAAGCTCACGGGGCTTTCCCGAACCTGAGTCGAGAGCTGGAGTTAAGTGAGATCTCAGATTTGCCTTCTTTATAGTTTGTTTGGGTCCCTGACTTCCGTTTCGCTTCTCATGCACTGATTCGCTAGCTGAACAGCCAATCAGAGTGATTTGCCTTTGGCCGACTGCCAAACCGGTTCCGGTTCGGAACCGGTTCCAACATTTAGATTCCAACGGCATCATTTAGACATGTGAATTTCGGTTCCGCTTTTCGATGCCTGAGGAAATGTTTCTCGCCGCTCTCCGTAGCCCACTGTATGACTGCGGCGGGGCGGGAAATGTAGCGTTGTACCTACACTTCCTACAGCGTAACCTGAGACCAGGGCCGGCCCATCCGGGCCCATCGCACTGGCGTTATAGATGTTCGCCTAGGGCGCCAGATCTGTGGAGGCGCTGCGCTGACAGTTCTGGGAGGGAAAAAAAAATGTTTTGACCGTTGGTGTTCATCCTAATGTTCGGCCTTGATGTAACAACATTCATAATTAAGTAAATGTAACACCCTTTTCATCCCGGTTACACTTTTCATTTGCCCTGTAAGGGCGCTGTAAATGATGAAAATGGGGGATGTTGGCTTATCTGGCACCCGCAGCTCACAGCCAAAGTGCGAGTGAGCGAGGGAGCAAGCGAGGGAGAAAGGGAGGGCGCTGTTGTTATTAGCATCTGGTGCTAGCTGCTCTAACGGAAGAAGAAGATGTTTCTACAATGATATGGAGGGAGAGTCCTCTCCAGTCAGACTGAGAGACTGATAACTTCAGCTCAGTGAGACTCTGACTCTGAGTGTTTAGATAGTTCACTTTAGTCTAAGTTATCTCAGTGGGTCTCAAACGTTTTGATCACAATTTATTTAAACACATATTTCCAAGGCACTCCTTTATAATTATTGGGATAAAACAGGTTTGAAATCATTCCAATGTATACTATAGGACAGTAAACCAGACATATCGTTTTAAACTGGAGAGATAAAAAAATATGCATTAATAAAATAGTAAAATAAGATATGAATGAACAACAAAAATAAAATACGTTACATGTATTTGTTATTGGCTATGGTAGTTACTGGTTATGTTCACATACTTATTTGATTATTAAAATGTAAACCGATCTTTGGGTGTTTAGAGTTGTACCCCCTAGATCTAGTCTCTAGTAATTATGCTTAAAGTGCACCAGATTGAAGCATTTTACTTTCAA